TGCAAAAGATTTAAAAATCTAGAGGTCACTTGTAAGTGAAACGGACTCTGCATTGATTCAAAAGGCCATTGATGCAGTTTTGGACTGGTCAAAAATGTGGGAGCTACCACTAGCGTCCGAGAAGACATTGGTGCTGCACTTAGGGAAAAGTCAACCCAGCCATAGTTACCACATCGGGGACTTTGTGCTCAAAAATGTTGGTGAAGTTAGAGATTTGGGCTTTATTGTTGATGAAAAGCTCTGCTTCGACTCCCACTGTAGGTATATAACCAACAAAGCGGAATCCAGGCTTTTCCAATTGCTGAGGAGTTTTTATACCAAAGACCCGTGCCTCCTTATTAAGGCTTACAAATCTTTCATTCGCCCCATATTGGAGTACGGCACAACTATTTTCTATCCGCAGACCAAGAAGTCTATCTCAAGACTAGATGCCATTCAAAATAGTTTCACTAGGAAGGTCTTAATCCGGGCCTTAGGTTTCAATTATAAGGCTATACCTAGGGGGGTCATAAGAAATAAAATGCTTGGCCTTGAGTCTCTTCAATGTAGGAGAAGGAAATTCGACCTTCTGACAGCATTCAAAATCATCACAGGGAGCATGGTTGTTGATAGGCAAGCTTTCATTACCCTTCTCCCGTCCACTACTAGAGGAGAGAGGCTAAAACCTCTTCTCCCTATGGCCAAGTCCTCCATAAGAGCAAAATTCTTCACTGTGCGGGCCTTCTCTGAGTTCGCTAAATTTAGCAAAAAGTACCCTTTCGCGAGTAGCACAGCTCAGCTGAAGTCATTTATGCACAAGTACTATGCTTAGGGCAATCAATATCTTTTTTCTACAATTTTATCAGGCCATATCTATTCTTGGGGCTGTTCACTTTCTTGCTTTCTCACTTTCTCAATTGGCCATTTCTTATCATTTCATTGTACAATGTCCATGGTTGTTGTGTTGATGTTACTCAATGTTTTCATTGTTCTGTGTTATTAAATCCATGTGCTCAATGCGCATGCAATAAATCTAAATCTAAATCATAGTTGATGTGGTTAAAAGCGGTAAGATCCTTAGAATCTACTCGAAGAGTACTTCATAAAGGTGTGAAATTTTCCTGAAATTCTTTCTTCTGCCTCAATTTTCCTAAGGGGTCTCTAGAATCAATTCAGCAAATTCGCTACACTTTGTTCCGCTTAGATTTATTTGAAAGCATCGAAATTCTCTTCAGGAAAGTTTGTCTGCTTACGGCCGCTGACAGAGAAGGCGTTTTTATGGGAAAACGCCTGCTCGGGTATACGCCGTGCACCTGTCTGTGGGCAGAAGTCGCACTCGCATTTGAAAGTCCTCCATTTTCCTGAAGAAGGTGTTAGTATCGTGATTGAGTTGCATTGTACTGTTATATGGTACTCTTGTTTCACTTCCCCATGAACTGCTCTACACTTTGTTCTCCTTGGGATTTCAGGAATGTTCGATCATCGAAGACAGACCATGTTTTTGCACTTGTTTTTGGCTATTGTAACCTTGATCTATGCTGTCGAGCGAAAGCGCCGTCCGTGTATTAAGGATAATAATGGCTGATAGTGAGACTTATAATGCTCTGCATGCTCTAATGCTCCCATGGAGCTCTTGTCTGTGTGACTCTCCGACAGCTGCACGGTGCAGAGCTCCTGGAGAACATTAGAGCGTGAAAGTGCACTGCCGGACACTGCACTTTTCAAGCCGTCTTGCAGCCCGTCTCTCTGGATACGACCCCCTCCCTTTTCGTTCGGCCGAATACGACCCCCTCGTTGTTCTTTGCGCAACGGGCGGTTGACCCTGCATTCAGTCCTGAACTTTTTCCCTGCTGAGCAAAAATTTCTCCCCTTGCTACTGTTCACTACTTGTGAGCAGGTATATACAGTCGATATCTCGAACTCTGATTGGGCGTGTCACCGGAAATGACGTGGCAGCCACCGCACTTGATAGATGTCACGTGGATAAAATACTCCGCCAGATATCAGCAAAGCGTGTTGGAAGCAGCTTATCCGCGCAACTTCTATCAAGTGCGGTGGCTGCCACGTCATTTCCGGTGACACGCCCAATCAGACTTCGAGATATGGAGTGTAACATTAGGTCAAAATTCGGAAGCTCTTCGACCGCAGCATGAGAAACAGCTTTGAAAGTTGGTGCAGTATTTATTATTTTTAAATTATTTTTCTTTAATTATTCTTCTACCTTATATCAAAAAAATCCTAGCTGTTTCGAAGAAGTCTATGATATTGTGCAACCTTATCTTTGAGCATTTTGATAACAAATTGAATATGTTTCGAGGCATTATAAAATTGATTGACACTGACCTAGCAGCTTGTGAGAGCACTCCTCGATTCATTGTTACAGTTGAAAACAAATACTTGTAATGATAACGGCAATAAACAAAAAAATTGCGGCTTCAAAGCTAGTTAGGAAGAGGGAGGTTGTCTGAAGTAACCTCTGGCAGTGGGTAGTAGAAACATGCTGTTCCACCGGTAACGCAGACCTTGAATTTATGGTGGCAATGCCACCGCCAAGGCCGAATGGATTAACGTATGGCGGCGGAACATAACGCTCTATCGGTTTCAGTTTGCCCTAGGCGTGGTTCGATACTAAAACGAGTTCGTTCCTACAGTGCTTCTCTTGGGGTCGGTGGCGGATCGCGTAGAATTGTGGCGGCCCTTGCCAGGCGCATGCATTGAGGTGCTGGATTTTTTTTTGACATCTGCGCGTAACGCTGTCACGAGCCCAACAATTTCCTGGTGCAGTTTCAGCCTTGCGAAATTTGCTTATCCAACGTAATCAAACTACACAGTCAAGGTCCATGTGTTGTTGTAATAAATCTACCCTACGTTGCACTTCACAATTCACAAATCAAAAACAGGTTATGATATTTGGACGGAGGAAGGCAGAAGAAGCTCAGACGGGTCTCCGGAGCGCGACTTTTTGCTGCACCCTTTTCGAAAATTCAGGACTATTCAACCTACTCGATGTGGTTTGAACTCACAGATCAATTTCGCCTAAGCCAGTGCCGGCCTTTTC